TTTTCTTGCCTGATTGCTGTGGGCATCCTTGTCTAGTGCCGGATTTCAAAGGGAATGCTTCCAGTTTTTGCCCATTCAGTATGATATTGGCTGTTGGTTTGTCATAAATAGCTTTTATTACTTTGAGATACGTTCCATTGATACCGAGTTTATTGAGGGTTTTTAGCATAAAGGGCTGTTGAATTTTGTCAAATGCCTTCTCTGCATCAATTGAGATAATCATGTGGTTTTTGTTTTTGGTTCTGTTTATGTGGTGAATTACGTTTATAGACTTGCGTATGTTGAACCAGCCTTGCATCCCTGGGACGAATCCTACTTGATCATGATGAATAAGTTTTTTGATTTGCTGTTACAATCAGCTTACCAATATTTTATTGAAGATTTTTGCATCTATGTTCATCATGGATATTGGCCTGAAGTTTTCTTTTCTTGTTGGGTTTTTGCCGGGTTTTGGTATCAGGATGATATTGGTCTCATAGAATGATTTGGGAAGGATTCCTTCTTTTTAGATTATTTGGAATAGTTTCAGAAGAAATGGTACCAGCTCCTCTTTGTGTGTCTGGTAGAATTCGGCTGTGAACTCATCTGGACCTGGGCTTTTTTTGTGTGGTAGGCTCTTAATTGCTGCCTCGACTTCTGCCCTTGTTATTGGTCTATTCATAGTTTCAGCTTCCTCTTGGTTTAGGCTTGGGAGGACACAGGAGTCCAGGAATTTATCCATTTCTTCCAGGTTTACTAGTTTATGTGCATAGAGTTGTTTGTAATATTCTCTGATGATGGATTGAATTTCTGTGGAATCTGTGGTGATTTTCCCTTTATCATTTTTTATTGCATCTATTTGGTTGTTCTCTGTTTTCTTTTTAATCAATCTGGGTAGTGGTCTGTCTATTTTGTTGATCTTTTAAAAAAACCAGCTCTTGGATTTATTGATTTTTTGAAGGGTTTTTCATGTCTCAATCTCCTTCAGTTCAGCCCTGATCTTACTTATTTCTTGTCTTCTGCTGGGTTTTGAGTTTTTTGATCTTGCTCCTCTAGCTCTTTCAATTTTGACGATATATACTTTCCTCTAGAGACTGCTTTAAATGTGTCCCAGAGATTCTGGCATGTTGTGTCTTCGTTCTCATTGGTTTCAAAGAACTTCTTTATTTCTGCCTTCATTTCGTTTTTTATCCAGTCAACATTGAAGAGCCAGTTGTTCAGTTTCCATGAAGCTGTGCGATTTCTGAATTCTGAGTTCTAACTTGATTGCACTATGGTCTGAGAGGCTATTTGTTATGATTTCAGTTGTTTTGCATTTACTTAGCAGTGCTTTACTTCCAATTATGTGGTCAATTTTAGAGTAGGTGTGATGTGGTGCTGAGAAGAATGTATATTCTGTGGATTTGGGGGGGGAGTTCTGTAAATGTCTATCAGGTTTGCTTGCTCCAGGTCTGAGTTCAAGCCCTGGATATCCTTGTTGATTTTCTGTCTGGTTGATCTGTCTAATATTGACAGTGGAGTGTTAAAGTCTCCCACTATTATTGTGTGGGAGTCTAAGTCTCTTTGTAAGTCATTAAGAACTTGCCTTATGTATCTGGGTGCTCCTGCATTGGGTCCATATATGTTCAGGATCGTTAGCTCTTCTTGTTGTATCGATCCTTTTACCATTATGTAATGGCCTTCTTTGTCTCTTTTGATCTTTGTTGCTTTAAAGTCTATTTTATTAGAGATGAGAATTGCAACTCCTGTTTTTTTTGCTCTCCATTTGCTTGATAAATCGTCCTTCATCCCTTTATTTTGAGCCTTTGTGTATCCTTGCATGTGAGATGGGTTTCCTGGATACAGCACACTGATGGGTGTTGGCTTTTTATCCAATTTGCCAGTCTGTGTCTTTTGATTGGTGCATTTAGTCCATTTACATTTAGGGTTAAGATTGTTATGTGTGAATTTGATACTGCCATTTTGATGCTAGCTGGCTGTTTTGCCCGTTAGTTGTTGTAGATTCTTCATTATGTTGATGCTCTTTAGCATTTAGTGTGATTTTGGAGTGGCTGGTACTGGTTGTTCCTTTCTATGTATAGTGCCTCTTTCAGGAGGTCTTGTAAAGCAGGCCTGGTGGTGACAAAATCTCTGAGTGCTTGCTTGTTCGCAAAGGATTTTATTTTTCCTTCACTTCTGAAGCTCAGTTTGGCTGGATATGAAATTCTGGGTTGAAAGTTCTTTTCTTTAAGGATGTTGAATATTGGCCCCCACTCTCTTCTGGCTTGTAGTGTTTCTGCCGAGAGATCTGCTGTGAGTCTGATGGGCTTCCCTTTGTGGGTGACCTGACCTTTCTCTCTGGCTGCCCTTAGTATTTTCTCCTTTATTTCAACCTTGTTGAATCTGACGATTATGTGCCTTGGAGTTGCTCTTCTTGCGGAATATCTCTGTGGTGTTCTCTGTTGTTTCCTGTAATTGATTGTTGGCCTGTCTTGCTAGGTGGGGGAAATTTTCCTGGATAATGTCCTGAAGAGTATTTTCCAGCTGGGATTCATTCTCTTCGTCACATTCTGGTACACCTATCAAACGTAGGTTAGGTCTCTTCACATAGTCTCACATTTCTTGGAGACTTTGTTCATTCCTTTTTGTGCTTTTTTCTCTGATCTTGGTTTCTCGTTTTATTTCATTGAGTTGATCTTCGACTTCTGATATTCTTTCTTCTGCTTGGTCAATTTGGCTATTGAAACTTGTGCATGCTTCGCGAAGTTCTCGTATTGTGTTTTTCAGCTCCTTTAATTCATTCATATTCCTCTCTAAGTTATCCATTCTTGTTATCATTTCCTCGAATCTTTTTTCATATCTTTTTTCAATGTTCTTAGTTTCTTTGCATTGATTTAAAACATGTTCTTTTAGCTCACAAAAGTTTCTCATTATCCACCTTCTGAAGTCTAATTCTGTCATTTCGTCACAGTCATTCTCCGTCCAGCTTTGTTCCTTTGCTGGTGAGGAGTTTTGGTCCTTTCTAGGAGGCGAGGCATTCTGGTTTTGGGTGTTTTTCTCCTTTTTGCGCTGGTTTCTTCCCATCTTTGTGGATTTATCCACCTGTTGTCTGTGTAGTTGCTGACTTTTTGATTGGGTGTCTGAATGGACATCCAGATTGTTGATGATGAAGTATTTCTGTTACTTGGTTTTCCTTCTACCAGTCTAGCCCCTTCGCTGTAGGAGTGCTGAGGTCCACTCCAGGCCCTGCTTGTCTGTGGTGCACCTATAGCAGCTGCGGAACAGTGAGGGGTGCTACCAGTTTCTTTTTCTGCTATCTTTGTCCTAGAATGATGCCTGCCAAATGTCAGTCTTTTGGATATAGAGGGGTCAGGGAGCTGCTTGAGGAGACAGTCTGTACTTTATAGGAGCTCAATTGCTGAGCTGTGAGCTCTATTGTTCATTCAGGGCTGTTAGGCTGCTATGTTTAATTCTGCTGCAACAGAACTCATAAAAAAACTTTTTTTTCCTCAGCTGCTCTTTCTGAAGGGGTTGGGGCTTTATTTTTGAGTGTCCACTGTGCTGTCCTGCCCAGCTAGGAGGCAGTCTAGTCACTATTTGCCTGCCGAGGCTCGGCCCTGCTGGTGTGAGGTTCGCCCTGTTGCTGCAGGCTCTGCCCTTCTGCTGCAGTCTCCGCCCTGCTGCCACGGGCTACGCCCTGCGGCGGAGTCTCTCTGTTGTACCGGGTTGCCTCGGCAATGCCAGGCTGCATCAGCAATGGGCGTGTACCTCAGTAGGGGCTGATTGCCTCGGTAATGGCGGAAGCCCCTCCTCCACGGAGCTGCGCTTTAAGGGAACCTCCTCACTGGGAGCATTTGGAATCATCGTTTTGTTTGTCACACTGTGCTACCCCAAACGCTGTGTCCCTGAGATTTCCTCGGCTGGCTCATCGTCCAAGTCCTGTTCAGTCTCAAGTTCAGCCCTCTCAGGTCTCAGTTTGCCGATTCAACAGGGCACCCATAACAGTGCGCTTTTGTATGGAGTGCTGTGGAGCACCTCTGCACTCCAGCACGGGCCGCAGCCTCACCAGCTGCCAGCTACACCAGCCAAAACCTCTGCCTGGCGTCCCACGTCTCTTTTATACCTGGGAATTTCCCCGTTCTGTGGGCAGCTAAGATCCGTCTGGAAATGCGTCCCCGACTCACCCTCTCTGTGCATCCAGCGAGAGCTTCAATCCTGGGTTGTTCTCCCTGAGTGGCTTTTATAACAGAGAACTGTACTATAGTGTGAAGTGCTTTTCCAATGCTGAAAAAAGTAGCACTTTCTTTTTCACTGGCCATTACTGTTTATGAGTAGCTTTCCCAAGGCTTCTGAAGAGAAGGAGACATGAGGAATGGATTTGGGTACCAACACTCATCACAAATGCTTACTAGTTTAGCCCTACTTTATCAAGAAAATAAATTATAGAAAATATTTTTTTTTTTAGTGGAATTTTGCTCTTGTTGCCCAGGCTGGAGTGCAATGGTGCAATCTCAGCTCATTGCAATCTCTGCCTCCCAGGTACAAGGGATTCTCTTATCTCAGCCTCCCAAGTAGCTCGATTACAGGCATGCACCACCATGCCTGGCTGGTTTTTTTTTTTTTTTTTTTTTTGGATTTAGGAGAGATGGGTTTCACCATGTTTGTCAGGCTAATTGTGAACTCCTGTCCTCAGGTGATCCACCTGCCTCAGCCTTCCAAAGTGCTGGGATTATAGGCATGAGCCACCAAACCCAGCAGAAAATAACTTTTTAAATACTTTCATTAAGGTCATAAGTGTTAATCAAGGCCTACAGAATTAAAAAACTGAGGAATGCAGGCTTATAGGGAACAGTACTTGGAAAAGATAATAATGCTTCTCTTTGGGTTCATGAAGACTTGAGTATGATCAAAGATAAAGAAATACATGAAAAAGAAAAGTATAGGGATTTTTGGATCCAGTTTACAGGAAATACTGGTGTCTGTGAACTGAGAGACAGAGAGAGAAGGCCCACATTTCTTCAATAAGCACTGGATTACCAGGAAAAATGAACAGAAGAATTTTAATGTTATACAAAGATGTTAATGTTATACAAAAGAAAAAATGAGAAATTAAGAAAATATGGAATATAACATATTATTGCAAATCTTATATGATGCATATCTGAATGCCTTTCTGCAAGAGAGAGAAAGTGTATGTGAGAGATAGTTCCATTTCTGGGTCTTGTCTCAGAAAGATATGGACAAATTTAATACAATTAATCTCTTGATTATTACTTTCTACTAATTAATTTATTTTAAGTTTAATAAAGGTTAAGCTTTTTATTTTTAGATAATATTAGGTTCATATAGTTATCAAAAACAATACAGATGATCGTTTGTACCCTTTACCCAGTTTCTACCAACAATAACGTCTTTCAAAACTATAGTCCAATTTCATGGCCAGGATATTGACACTGATACAGTCAATATTCAGAACACTCCATCATTAAAAGGCTCCCTCATGCTGCCCTTCTATGGTCATCCCCACTTTCCTCTTATCTTCACCCCTTCTTAACCCATAGAAACCAATAAATTGTTCTCCATTTTATAATTTTGTGAGGTATTTCATATACAAAATAGTATATATATTCGTGTATACACACACACAATTCACTGTGTCATGTAAATGTATGGGATTGGCTTTTTTTCATTCATCATAATTTATTTTTTCTGGCAATTCCCCAGTTTGTTGCATATTTTAATAGCTTGTTTCTTGTTATTGGTGAGTAGTATTTCATAGCATGGATATACCAATTTATTTAACCAATCACCTGTTGAAGAACGTCAGGGTGATATTTATAGTTTTGAGCTAGTACAAAGAAAGCTGCTATAAACATTCACATACAAGTTTTGTGCAAACACAGGTTTAATTTTTTTAATTTAAATGCCCAAGAGTGCATTTCCTGGGTTGCAGGGTAGTTGCATGTTTAATTTTGTAAGAATGCTGAGAATTTTTTTTTCCTGGAGTAGCTTTACCATTTTCTCTTCCCACCATAAATGTATGAGTGATTATTTCTCCACATCCTTGCTGGCATTTGGTGGTTATTATTATTATTATTGAGATGGAGTTTCTTGTCACCCAGGCTGGAGTTCAATGGGGCAATCTCAGCTCACTGCAACCTCTGCCTCCCGGGTTCAAGTGATTCTCTTGTCTCAGCCTCCTGAGTAGCGGGGATTACAGGTGCCCACCACCACACCTGGCTAATTTTCATATTTTTAGTATAGATGAATTTCACCATGTTGGCCAGGCTGGTCTCGAACTCCTGACCTCAAATGATCCACCTGCCTTGGCCTCCCAAAGTGCTGGGATTACAGGAATGAGCCACCTTGCCTGGGTATTATTTTTTATTTCAGTCATTTTGAGAGGTGTATAGTAATATTTGTTTGGTTTTTATCTGTATTTCCTTAATGGTTAATAATACTGAATGTTTCTTCATATACTTTTTTTGCATCTATGTATCTTTTTCAGTGAAATGCCTCAATATTTTTTGCTCATGATATAATTGCATTTGTTTTTACTATTGAGTTTTGAGTTATTTATATACTCCAGATGTGAGTCTTTGTCAATTATGTGGTCTTTCTTCCCACTCTGCAGCTTCCTTTATAATCATCCTAATATAGTTTCCTAGAACAAATTTTAAAAAATTTAATGAAGTTCAGTTTATCAATTTAGTAAATCTTATTGGTTTAAAACAGTGCAGTTTTTAATTTTATGAATCATGCTTTTGATTTCAAGGTGAAGAATGCTTTAGGTAGACCTAGGTCTCCAAAGTTTTCTCTTGTCTTTTTCTAAAAGTTTTGTAGTTTTAGGTTTCAAATTTAAATCCATGATTGATTTTGAGCTAATTTTTTTTGGGTGTGAGATTTAACTCCAGGTTTGTTTTGCCTATGCTGATCATTTTGTGCAACACCAATGAACAAAGCAACAAAATTGCTTTTGCACTTTTTTCAAAAACATTTAGGGGTGTGTGTGTGTGTGTGTGTGTGTTTATGAGTTTTCTTTCCTTTTCTACTGGTCTATGTGGCCATGCCTCTGCCAATGTCATACAGCCTTGACTGCTATAGCCATATCATAAGTCTTGAAATTGGACAAGCTGATGCCTTTAATTTATTATTCTTTTCACAATTGTTTCAACGATTGTAGTTCCTGGTTCTTTCCATGTAAATTTTTCAGTAATTTTATAGACATATAGAAAAATCATGCTGAAAGTTTGGTAGGGAGTTCACTAAACCTACCTATCAATTTGAGGAAGAATTGACATCTGTACTGCATAGTGTTACAATACATGGACCCAGTATGTTCTCTTTATTTATTTAGAAATTTGGTGATTTTATTTTCAAATCAATGCTTTGTAGTTTTAAGCATGTAAGTCCTGATGTCTTGTTGGATTTACCTCTAAGTATTCCATAATTTTAGGAAAACTGTAAATGGTATTGTGCTTGTAATTTCAACAACGACATGATTATCGATGGTATATAAAAATACAGTAGATTTTTGTATGCTTATCTTGTATCCCATGAACTTAGTGAACTCACTTCATTTCTATTTTTTTGGTGGAATCTTTGAGATTTTTTACATATGTAATTATGTTATCTGCTAATAGAAATAGTTTCATTTCCTCCTGTCTAACTTGTACCTCTTTCATTTCTTTTTATTTTACTATTGCACTGGCTAGAAATTCAAGCACTAGGTTGAATAACGGTGGTGAAAGCAGGTATGACTTTTTCACAGGCTTAGGGAGGAAACATTCAGTCTTTCCCATTAAGTATAATAATAGGATGGCTTTCTTGCAGATCTTCTTTATGAAATTGAGGTGTTCTCCTGTATCCCTATTTTTTTTAGAGATTTTTATCATGAATGAGTGTCAAATTTTGTCAGATTTTTTTCCTGCATTGATTGATGTTATTTTTTTCTTCTTTAGCCTGTTAATATGGTAGATTAAATTAGTGGATATTTGCTTATTGAACCATCTTTGCATCCTGAAAATAAATCCCATTTAGTCTTCATATATATTTCACTGATTTCTGCTTTATTAAAGATGTTTACTTCTATATCCATGAGAGTTATTGATCTGTAGTTCGTATTTATTTATTTATTAGTATTGTCCTTGTCCAGTTGTGACATTAGTATAGCATCAGCTTCATAAAATTAATTGGAAAGTCTTCTCTCTATTTTTTGGCAAAATTTGTACAGAATGGGTGTTAATTTTTCCTTAAACATTTGCTTGAGTTCTCCAGTGAAACTATCTGATCTTGGCGACTTTTGGGGAGAGATTTTTAGTTACAAATTCAATTTTCATAATTGCTGTAGGCTATCAAGTTATCTATTTTATATTAAATGAGTTGTATTAGCTTGCATTTTTCAAAGAATTGGTCCATTTTTCTAAGTTGTCAAAGTAAAATGTGCAGAGGTGGTGTTGAGGTGCTTCGTTGCAATCTTGCAAGAGTGAAAGGATAGGCTTCCCATTTAGTCTTGGCTGGCAAAGGTTGGGGCGTGACCAGTTTTTTTCCCGTGGTGTTTTGTTGAGGTACAACAGTTATTGTCGAAAGGTTTCATCCTCATTGTGCTGTCCCTTTCCTGGTACTTTAGGTAGAGAGAGTAGGTTTTCTTTTGTTTCTCAATGCCTTTTGTGGTTTCTGGGCTGACTGGCTTCTTCTGCTTTGAGTGTAGGGTATAGGAGACAAAAGAAAACAAACATACAGAGAAAACCACCACGTTGGCCTTTGGATCCTGAAGTCCCTAATCAGCCTGCCTTCTTATTCTTTCTCCTTCTCCTTTTCCTTCTTATTCTTTCTTCTGGAGTCTTGCTCTGTCACCCAGGCTGGAGTGCAATGGCGTGATCTGAGCCCACTGCAGCCTTCGCCTCTCAAGTTCAAGCAATTCTCCTGCCTCAGCCTCCCCAGTAGCTGGGATTACGGGAGCTTGCCACCACACCCATCTAATTTTTGTATTTTTAGAAAAGGCTGGGTTTCCACATGTTGACCAGGCTGTTCTTGAACTCCTGACCTCAAGTGATCTACCCGCCTTTGTCTCCCAAATTTCTGGGATTACAGGTGAGAGCCACTGTGCCTGGCCAGTCTTCATTCTTATTTCCATCTTTCAGTCTCCTTATGTTGCCTTTTATACAAATACAGTGTTTTTAGTTGTATGTAATAGGAGAATAGGGAAAAGTATATTGACTTTTTCTTGCCACCAGCAAAAGTCCATGATACATTTTAAAAATAAAAAAAATAAAATTTAGGGAATCATATCTATGTTGTGAGCCTATTTTTGTGTAATGAAAAACGGAAAATAAATAGCATATTATATTTGGAACATATATCAGTTATATTGTATAAAATGTAAATTTACACTATGCAAGTTAAACATATTAATATCCAACTATTACACAGATTTTCTTTCGAGGCAGAGAAAGGTAAGGTAGTGACATACTTTCAGTTTCTGCTTTGATACTTCCATATTGTAATATTTTTCTTATGAGCTATCTTTCCTGCCTCCTCCCTTCTTTTCTTTTTTTTTCGCAAGTTAATGAAATATTAATTGGACAATTTTATACCAAATGAGACTTTTTTGCCTTTGTTACAAATTGTAAAGGTTAACAGTTGTACCCATGTCATTCTGATTGTTTTCTTCCCCTGTAGGAAAAACATTTTCAATTGGCCTTTCACAGTCCTTTACACAGACTTGCTCTCATAAATTGAAAAATTTCAATTTTGTCTAGTTTTTTGCACTCTTCAGTCACAGCATCCAGTTTCTCAATTTCAACTATTTTCTCAGCAACCTGAAAGATCTTTTAAATTGTGGATTTATATATTAGACAACATAAGAAGACTGTGAAAGATGAAAACAAGAATCAGAGCAGTTTTGGTGTTTTTCTTACAGGTGCAATTTAAAGATAGCAAGTAATTGTGTCTCTATGAACAAAAAATATATAGTTTGTTTAAATGTTCTTTCAACTTGAAAATTAATGTCATTCTTACAACTTCTTCAGCATTAGTGGGGCATGGAGCCATGATTGATGACCAGCCAGATCTGAATTTGACCATCAGCTGTGTTGTTAGATCTCCACACAGTTTCCTTCTGGATATTAGCTTTTTGTTAATTAAGACTCAAGATTCTTTTGCATCTAATGCAATCTGAGTTTATCCATCGGTCTTAATAGTAACGTTTCTCTTAATTATAGATTCTTCATAGATCCTAGGAGCTCATAAATTATGGAACAACTTTTGCTTTCAGGTCTATTTCAATCTGTTTGCTTAGGTCATTATTATCATCTGCAAAAGATAAAGAAAAAAGAAGAAAACATAAAATTGATTATTAAGTCCATATGGGGATTAATAATCTTGCCACAATAAGCATTTTTAATTAATCCAATGGGGATTAATAAGCACAATTAATCCAATGGGGATTAATAATCTTGTCACAATAAGCGTTTTTTTTTTTTTTGAGACAGAGTCTTGCTCTGTCACCCAGGCTAGAGTACAGTGGCACAGTCTCGGCTCACTGCAACCTCCACTTCCCGGGTTCAAGCGATTCTCCTGCCTCAGACTCCCAAGTAGCTGGGATTACAGGCACCCGCCACTGTACCAAGTTAATTTTTGTATTTTTAGTAGAGATGAGGTTTCACCATCTTGGCCAGGCTGGTCTTGAACTCCTGACCTTGTGATCCACCCCCCTCAGCTTCCCAAAGTTCTGGGATTACCACAAACATTTTTACATGCCCAGGTAAGACTATAATGATAGTCTCAAGATGCCGTGTAAGGAAATGCAAGCAAAGGTGATAAAGAATCCATTGACAAACAACCAAATCATAATCTTAGCTATTCTTGCACTATACCCTAGGGGCCATTTTTCCCCCCATTACAGTGAGTTTGAGCAGATGGTGACAGAATAGAGGATGCTGTTACAGCACCTTCCCTGACCCTGTTTTAGTTTAATAATCTAGATGCAACTTTCGTAAATGTCTAAACCTATGTAAGTAGAATAATACCACAGTTGACTCTGCCTGGAACATACATACGTTCTAGAATCAAACTAATCTAGTTTTTACCTTCAATGGAGAGAGTGGTGGTGACATTTGCCTCAGAAAGTTTACTAGTAGCTTGGGTAACTTGGAGTCGGCCTTGCCAGTGGCAAAATAGTATCACCAGGAAAAGTGCTCATCTTTCTCTTGTCAATATTTGGTTATCCTTCTGAACTTTTCTCAGTTCCACAGATACCTCATGGGCTGCTGCCTTTACCTGCATAGTCTTCTGGTACTGGAACCACATGATATAAATTGCTGATGAATACGTATTCCCTTTGTAGAAACCCAGGCACTAGCCAGAAGACCCAGAGACTGTGGGTCAACTCCACTTGCATCTGTGACAGCACAGTTCTATAAACTATGTTTATATATTTTTATTCAGAAAATAAAGATATTTCCAATTTTCAAAATTTTTTAAAAGCTTAAAGAAGAATACTGTATTTTAAAAAATATTTATTTATTGCCATGAGTTAAGAATTACTCAAATTTCTTTTAGATACCTATAAAAATGTTGTATTTTCCTTAAATTACCCATTTATTGTGTAATATTTATGAATTGTTAAATATTGCATTGGGGTTGCATTCCCAATCTGATCAATTTGATTTAATACTTTTCTATTATATTGCTTAATTTAAAGTAGTTTATTTAGATTTTCATATCTATAGCTAACTACAATCAATTCACTTCTAATTTTGTAAAAACTCTAACAGCTCTAGGGATCAAGTTGGTCATTGTCTTATAGCTACATTGGGCAATCTATTTTTTTTTTTTTCTGAAATAGAGTCTCACTGTCACCAGGCTGGAGTGCAGTGGCATGATCTCACTGCAACCTCTGCCTCCCAGGTTTAAGCTATTCTCCTGCCTTAGCGTCCCAAGTAGCCAGGACCACAAGTGCACTAATTCTATTTTTGATACCCAGGTTAATTTTGAGATGCTCATTTCAACCACAGGAACCCAGTTAGACAGACAAGTCTGCAGCTCGAGGGAGAAGTCAAAGCTGAGATGTGAACTAAGGAGTTATTGGATAGAAATAATATTGAAAGTCATGTGCCAGATGAGATCACCTGGGAAGAAGGTAGAGCTGGCAAGAAGAGCAGAGTGCCCAGCCTGTCCTCCAGTGCTGGGAGGTCAAGCAAGGAAGGAAGGGAGACTGCCAGGAGACGGGAGCTAATTCTTGCATTTTTAGTAGAGACAGGGTTTCACCATGTTGGCCAGGATGGTCTCAATCTCTTGACCTTGTGATCCGCCCACTTTGGCCTCCCAAAGTGCTGGGATTACAGGCGTGAGCCACTGTGCCCAGTTGGGTAACTATCTTTTTGATGTATGACTTCGAATGAATAGTTGACACTGAAATTGTTAAAGAATAATATGGAAAGTCCCTCTGTTCACACTGTTCACCATCTGGAAAATCTTTAACAGTTCAGGTTTCTTACTTCTTACTATGTTAATTTTGATGTTAGTTTTGCTGTTATTACAGTACTTGTTGTTTTGTTTTATAGAACATAATCCCTTTTGTCGATATTTCTAATTTTATCACAAAGCTATAAGAAAAATCCATTATAATTTAATCATTTTAGCCATTACAATATATGATATATCTTTTGTAATGTTGATGTCTTATTTTGATTAAACTTACTATAGTTTTTTCTTATTTTGACTTTATAAGCAACCATATTTTATTTATTACTTTTACTAACTTTCAGCTCTGTATTTTTTTCTGAATTTCCATAAATAATTTCCTTCCCTCAAATATTCTTTGAACTGATATTCTCATTTTCTGAAATCAAAGCTAATTTGTATTTCAGAAAATAAGGTTTTATAAGCATTCTCCATTGTGGAATTTCATATGTACATTTAAAAAGTGTTTACTTAAACTGGGAATCTGAATTTGATCAAGAGAAGAGTGAATAGAAATACTGTGGTTGAGCCTGCCATGCTCCTCATAATGCAGGAGATTCTGGTGGATGCCCTGGCTGGTCATCACTGCATGGTTACAATGTGACCAGACATGTGATGAGTGATTACTAATAGAGCCCCAAGACAGTACAGCAAGAGGATACCAGACTTTACATAGTCACAAACTACCAGAGCTTCATCCTAGCCCAGGGAGATGGCTTAGCAAAAGATTTGCAGGTGGTAATATCACTTACCCTGGGGTTCTTGCATTCTGGCAGGACTTTGTCCTGGAAGGCAGGACAGCTGAATAGCCACTACCTGAATACCTCTCCTGTGAAGAAATGGGCGACCTGGGAAACCATGGTTCTTAGCTTTCCCTCCTGATGCATTCTGATGTCCTTTGCTACAATGGATTTTCAAACTGATTACAGTAAAATTTAATTAGTGGTGGCACATTTATGCCACAGAGTGATCATGTGCACCAAGTTTTAAGCTTAGTCCTCTCAAGATAATTTCAAATGGGTTATTCAGTGAATAGTGTTAAAATATAATCTTTTGACATGCAAAATCATGACTCAGGAAAACATAAAATAAGCACACTTCAAAGACTTTAAAATTTATTAACTAATGAGGGAACAGGCTATTTCAAAGAATATTTAAGAACTAAGAGTGTTTATAGGCCAGGACAGGTGGCTCAAGCCTGTAATCCCAGCACTTTGGGAGGCCAAGGCAGGCCGATTACCAGGTCAGGAGTTTGAGACCAACCTGACCGACATAGTGAAACCCCATCTCTACTGAAAATACAAAAATTAGCTGGGCATGGTGGCATGCACCTGTAGTCCCATATACCTTGGAAGGCTGAGGCAGGAGAATTGCTTGAAACAGGAAGGTGGAGGTTTCAGTGAGCCGAGATTGTGCCACTGCACTCTAGCCTGGGCAATAGAGTGAGACTCCATCTCCAAAAAAAAAGTAACAAACAAAAAAATTGTTACTCTTAACTGTTTACTGTCCAGTAGACTATACATTTGGGAGATAATCTATTCCATTTGGAAGAAAATTATTCGTATCCCTTCTGGAAAAAAATACATGTCTGCAAACAATTTCATTGAATCTGTAATTTTAAACAACTATTAAACTATGAAATGAACTATGTTCTCCTGTACAATCTTTGAATGGTCTTCACCTCTATAAGCCATTGAAAAGATATGACATCAGCAGTTTTATTTTCAAGTTTCAGATCTGTTTTTGTCCCACAGGTAAGGGACAGCCCATGGCAATGCCTTGATAATTAAATCTTACCATTTCTAGCATTAGAAACTGATGGAAGTTAAAAGCATGCTTCCTTTAAAAGTCTGAAACATCACTTAAATCCATTTGGTGAGAAACATTCTTTTCCAATTTTTACCAAGCCATGTGGAAAATTATTTAGGCAACTAAGCAAGAAAGGGCCTGAGCAGAAACAGATGAATCAATTTTTCCAGAGGCAGAAAAAAGGAGAGTTTTGATGCCAGCATGACCTAAAGATTTAGAGACATACCGAGATGAACTAGGCAAGAAGGAGTAAGTGTATTAGCTTTACTAATCCTAGAGCAGTTCTCAAACTTCAGCTTATAATAAAAGACACATGGAGGCTTGTTAGAGCATAGCTTCTGGGGTCCACCCCCCAGAAGTTGTTCTCAAAATGTGGCCCCTCAGCCAGCAGAATCAGCCTCACCTGGGAGCACTTTAGGAATGCAAATTCTTGGACCCTACTATACATCAAGAACTCTGGGATCGAGACTGGCCAATATGTTTTACAAGCCCTCAGGATAATTATGATGCACATTGCAGTTTGAGAACTTTGCCCTTGGTTTAAGCCAGGAGTCACTGCTGACTGGGATCAGGGATAATTAAGAAGTATGAATAACAACTCACGTGGTAATGCCAGGCAAGGTTCTAAGCACCTCCCAGGCTATACATCAGTTAAGTTCTCATAAAAAGCTGATGAGAAGGTGACGTTGAGGAAAGCAGACATTGGCCTCACCAAGAGAGTGGGAGAATTCACTGAGGATGAGGTGGAACATGTGATTACCCTTATGCAGAATTCACGCCAGTACAAGGTCCTAGACTGGTTCTTGAAAAGACAAGAATGTAAAGGATGGGAAATATAGCCAGGTCCTAGCCAATTGTTTGGAAAATAAGCTCCGTGAAGACCTGGAGCAACTGAAGAAGATTCGGCCCATAGAGGGCTGCACCACTTCTGGGGTCTTCATGTCCGAGGCCAGCACACCAAGACCCCTGTTCACCATGGCCACATTGTGAATGTATCCAAGAAGAAGTAAGTTTGTAGGCCTTTCTGTTAATAAATACTT